AGATAGCCAAAGTAGTCTGTACTAAGAGCTGACATGTCAAAAGAGAGCGAGAATTTCTGTTCAGTATGGTCAATCAATGAGAGTCTCAAAAAAGCTTCAACAAACATCCGTGACAAAAGTAAACAAAATTCTTTTTAGAATGTCTGAGTAGTTTTTGTTATAAATTTCAAAATCAAGGGTCAGACTCAGTTCAGTGTTCTACTAGCGGAACGGTAAAGAATGCATAATGAACAGTCTTCGATACTTTGAATTGATAAAATAAAATGTAGATTTTGCCTGCATTGATTACATTTGATTAAACTGATCCAGTATACTCATGTATTGCTTTGTAGGGATTTGACTGACTGGTTACAGGAATCCATCATCAGCTGACATCAGCTAGAAAAACATTGGAAAACCTAGGATTACTTGACGGCTATTTCGTCATAGTTCAGGACTCTTCACAGTACGCATTCACCGATATTGTTCGAACCCAGGACCTTCTGGTTACATGTTGAGCTCGTAGACCATTAAGTCACTGGGACTCGATCCAATGGCCCATGAATTCCAACTTCTGAAAGTTCACGACATAGCGATACCACTAGCCAATGTCTTCAACGAGTATTCATCTTCACACTCGACCTGCCCCACCCTATTGGTCACGACGTTCCAATAGAATCCCAGGTAACTACATACCTGAATAGGGCTGGTCGCTAGTGAGCATCTCAGCATAAGATGCTTCACTTTTTACTGATCACTTAGAAAAATATTTGCTTTAAATTGACTACGGAGTATATTTGACAGAGTACTTAAATAAAGTAAAAATCAATCAGACTGATTTTAAAGGTATTCGAAGTCAATAGCCATTCACAGCATAATTTTGTATACAGTAATCGTAGTACACTAGAACAGATTGTAAATTATATAATTGTAGTGAATTACATCATAAGAATATGTTGATTATGTGATATTAAAATGTAGAGATCTATTGAACACTCATTTGATAATATTTAGGTCATTAATGGCCATTAGCGTCTTTTTTAAATTTAATGTTTGATCACAAACTTCTGTCAGGTACATAATCACTGGAAGTCAGTAAATTACGGTAGGTAGTCATTGCAACAGGCTTCAAGAAGTATAATGTTCCCATCTATTCTTTATTAAACATCAGAATATAACTGACTAGTTGCTTGTTTGCATCCTGTGTCTAAGAATGATTTCTTCGTCGGTATCCAACAGTTATTATATCCTTATATACCATTGAGATAATAACTTAATATTGTTATTTGCTTTCTTAGTAAACAGTAGACCTTTAAAAAGAATACATTTAAAGACAAGTGTTCATAGCTCTGGAAAATCTATGCGAAGATCCGCAGCACTTATCATGGTGAACAAGTGCGAATATTTAACACTGATGTCAAGTCAATCATTGGTTCACAGACTTGATGCGCGCATCATGAAGAGCATTTCCAACAGGCTGTTGCAGACTTCCATCAACAGCTGTCCACCATTCTCTCCACTGAACGTCAGGCAGTTAGGCACAGTTATAAGCAACAAGGAAATCCGGTAGGCAACAAACCATCCAGGTACCTATTGTTCAACATATATGCAAAAGCAAATGGAGGTGGACTGCATATATTCACAGGAGATGCTGAAGTGACATGACACACCAGACCGTTTTATGAAACCTATTTAGGAGTGACATAAATCAAGGTTATTTTAAAAAATACTTTTACACCACTCAGTTACAGTCGCTTCAAGGTTGTGATGATTAAAATGGAATCGAAATCACCTAATCTTTACTTCTCACTTTATTGCGTCAGAATCATTTCTATCATACATGTTTGGTTTTTCCCGGAAGTTTCAAACTAATTAGAAATGTTTCGTTTTTCAGATTCGAATTTTATTTCTACAGAATAGACAGAAATTCTAGGCATAATTTCATGAATTCACTTGCATAATTTGAGTGAATTCACAGTCAGGGTTGCTTCGCAGACATTTTCCTGATTGTTATAATGATTATAAAAATCATATCAAAAATTAGTCGACCAAATGAATGAATTATTTATTGAATCACGCAATGATGAGGCGATATTCGTGGACAGTTTTCAGTAATAAACTTTTCATTTATTTTTAAAGAGAAATCAAAATTTCAGCTCACTGTCCTAATGATAATTCGAACTGTCACTAAAGGATAAATGATCATGAAGACGGGGAAAAAGTGAATTCAGATGAATATGGAGGGAGGCAATAGCTTAATTCTGTGGTTTCGTTGATTATACTGTCTGTTGTACTTTGCTATTTTATTTAGTTTTCAAAAGGTAGGTAATCTTCACATTTTTAGAGTAAACTCACAACAGTAATCTACTATGGAGTCATCGCACAGAAGTAGATTGTCTCATAATTTCAGAATGGGATATGATACCCCGCAAACAGTGCCTCAAGTACATCAGTTAAAGGGAATATAATTCTAGAAAAAATGACTTGTAGTTTGCTGGTGTATACTACTGATTGATATACGTAGTTGGATACCACTCACGTCAAAGAATGGTGCTCATTAGCTAGGCAGAAGTCATCTAAACACCAGGGAGTTGTTTCAGTCATTTGAAGCCTAGCCCACCAGCTATGTAAGTGGATTGGCTCACTTCAGAGAGTCGAATCAGTCTAAACCACTCGATTTCTCGGTAGCTACTTGGATAAACTGGTAATACATAGAACCAGATACACCACTAGCCGCTACAGATGAGAAATCACCAGAGTTTCCAAATTAATGTACATATGCATATATTCCAAAACTATTCACATAATATTATTCAATCCGTTTGGTATTATAAATGACAATCAAGAAAGCAAGGGAATATAGTTTAAGGAGTATTTTATCTTAAAAATTGTTTATACAAATCTGTTTTACTCAGATTCAGCTTTCTGTACGGAGACAGTCCAGGCCGACTATCAATCAAATACGCCCCCAACCAGCTAGATGACCGTATGATTTTAGGATCATATCGATCTGGCTGGGAAACACCACTGTTTGAGATGAGTGATTTCCATATATTTGACTTCCTCAGAAACTGTGGTGGCTTCTCACCTTGAAATATACAATTTACGAATGAAGAATTTGAGTCTATGAATTGTAATTCTCAGTGATCAAAGACTGTAGACTGCAACTATCTCCGACTGATAATTTCTAACAGTACCATATATCAACTAGTAAAATATTAGTTTAAGTTTTGTTAAGTTGTGTTTCGTCACATAAAACTAGGATGTTGCTCACTGACTAGGAAATATTCAGCCTTATTAAGTTTTATTGTAGATAGAAGCATAAACCGCAGCCTGAAAGTTTCAAAAGAGTCTAGAATTAATGATCTCGCTAAGGTGCTTGAAAATGGCGTACTCATTTTGTTGCAGTATATTATCCATTGCTTCATTGTTTCGCATTCTAAACTAATACAAATATACAGATGTAGTCCTGAGATAACCAAGAGGGTTCCAAGCACTGCTCATTTGATAGATTCGCCTTTTCTTAATTCATCATGTTGAACAGCTTATTTATGCAGATTCAAATAGTTCATTCTCATTTTGTTTAGAGGAAACGTCTTTCCTTCTTTAAGATCTTTGAATTATGAACCCAGTATCTTAGTTTTAATACCCATAAACGTTCAATAGTTACAAAATTTTTAAGGATGGAATATGTTTGTGCTCAACTTTCGTTCGAAAAATAAAAGTTCTGTTTGAAAAATAACTAATTTAATACTGTAATGGTTTAACTTAGGAAACTGCAGAACCCAGTGAGGAAACATAGGTTTCTTCAGTTTTACTAGTAAGTTTGGTAGATTATGATTAACATTCATAGCTTTATGTAGGTAATACCCACCTGATATACTTGATACTCGGCTGTTAAGCCTATGAGCTTGATTAAATGTCTTTGACATACACACACAGCAAGTCAGTGGTTGAAAAGCGAAGGACTAATGAACATTCTACTTATATATTTGGGACAAAACAAATGAAACAGATGCCATAAGTCATCTATCGCAAAGCACACCATGTAGACGGGTCATGAAATTGATGTCACTATTGCCTGTAAACCCAAATATAAAACAGGTTTGTGTCATAATTGGATTCGTTGAAACCTCAGCCATGAAAAGACTTAAACATGTCTTATGTGTCTAAAACTACTTTGTCATTACTTTGAACCTATGTTGGTAGTCCAATTTTTAAACCAACAGTTTAATTCACTTAATAAAATTTTCAGCCAATTTTTCTTGCCTCAGTTTCCTACCTTCTTTCTGTGATTTTGATCCCTAAATATTATGATTGATTCAATTTTTTCCCTTCACACTTTTATATGAATTTGTGTGACAGGTATGGATATGATCAGAATGATCAAAAAGGGTTACACACGTATATTATATGCTTCAGATGAGTCACATTTAACTGTTTTGGCAAAATTCATAAAGGTAATTATTTATTTTAAAAAGAAGAAGCTCTGGAATACACTTGTATTTCCAAAATCAAATACGTTTCTGTGGTAAACTGTTGACTTTAAGATGCTACTGAAACACACACACAAAAAAGAGAAATATTTAAGTGTAAAGGGCTTATTTAATTATTTTATAACACTTTAACTCTTTTGTGGTTTGTTCATTTACTATAATGCATTCTCATGTATTGTTTTTTCCATGTCATATCTCTGGTCTCCTCATCTCCTGATTAATTTCTAAATGTTGATCTTTTCAGCTGAAAATAATCCAGACCATCGATAGCATTTTTTTCAAACTTTCCACCGTTGATTAGCAATACATACCAGGCCTTCGAGTAGAATCTGAATGGGAAGCTATGAGTTAATTGTCTGATAGTGACATTGTGGAGGGGAAAAGCAAGCTTTTAAGATGTCATAAAGTCAGCTGAGAGTGATAGCAGAGAACTCAATTCAACTAGGATGTACTTCTGAGGTTGTGTGATCCGCTTGGAACACAAAGAATGAAAAATATATAACATAATATACAATAAATACTTACTTTTCCAGACATAAGTAAACGTAGTACAAGTAGTGAATTATTCTGATGACCGCTTTCCATATCTCCATGTGTCGTTGATGACGATGAAGTTGATTTGTCAGTTATTATATGTGTTGTATCTTCTAATAAGTGGTGTGATGTTTCAATAGTTGATAGTTCCAGTTTACTGAGCTCACTTTTATTATTATAATTATTGTTATTACTCGTAGCGCTAGTACTATTAGTGTTATTACTGTTTGCTGTTGGCAGTAATGCATTCTGTGTATTGTTTGATGTATACAATTTATCACAAGACAAATGTGGGGCTTGTAATGGCATATTTATAGATGTAGGATAAGTGTGATATGCACTTAAAAGTGTATTAGTTTCGTTCGGTTGTACATAACAAAATGATTCTGCATTGTTAGGGTAATTTGTATTGGCATAAAATCCATTTGTAAGCGTTATTGGTGGACAGTAAGGATTTTGTGAAGTGGCTTGTGTTGCAAGCATCAATCCTGTTGAAATATTTGATGGACTACCAAGTCCAAGAGTATTAGGATGTGGTAACAATGCTGTATGAAATGTAGAATAGGGCACCACACCAAGATTATTTGGTATTACATCACCTGACATTCCGAGTGCATACGAAGGTACTACACTTGTGAGTGCCATCTACACAGAGAATGAGCAGTGGAGATCGGCCTGACTTTTATTTGTTCAGTTATTCTAAGATAGATGAAAAAGAAATGGAGGCAGTAAAAATAATGTTTTGTAATTTGAATAATTTAATTTGAAATAAATATTATCATTTGAAAACTAAGGCTTAATAAAACGAAGGGAAAAGATGGTCAAAACTCTTTTGACATTATATATACCAAACAGTCTAAGCAAATCCTACCCTCAAACATTTGTGAATTGCCAGTCACCAGTTAACCAATCCAAACACAAAGGCTTTGAACAAGTTATGGAATCAATCTTATTTTAAGAAATGTATTCATCTTAGTTCATTCATTCGGTGCATTCCGAGTGAAATATAGGGTTTCAGCCTTTGAAAACTCAGTAGCACAGGTGTTTTTACGAAGTGGGATTACTAGCATTACGCCCAACATCCCTTCTTTTCTGAAATTACTACCGCCTAGTAAACTAGGAGAGGTTTGGGAATGCTTCGGTTGTGAGTTGAATTAGAACCTCTCGTATGGCTGGTGAGCACTCTACCTACATACAATGTATCTGTGACTTTGAAGGAACTGAAAACCGTTTCAGAGATTTAAACCCACGAGACGCATTCACAGATGTTACCACTGAGTTATTGGCGCTTACATTCAAACTAATTCACATGATATACCAAACATGTGTACGAAGAAAATGAGTGAAAATGGTGCTAAGGAAGTGTTGTCTTTAAGTGAGGCAAGCAACTCAACTGACTTAAGAGTATATTATCTGTGCACTTGTACTTTTGATAATAAAACTTTCAACACTAGATCATGATTCATAAATGAAATGTTCAATGGTAATTTCAAAAGTAAATTTACTACCGAAACTCTAGCTGGTCACATCTTATTTTGTGATTAATCTCTTTTAACCAACAAGAGCGTTTGAAAAAGACAGAATTCATCACACAACAGAATGATCTAAAAGTTTGAAATCAAGATTGAATATGAATACTGAAAAGAATTGACACTGAAAGTAGTAAAGTGCCTAACTGTTAGCATACATTAATATATTTCTTGTGTTTTATAAAAAATTTATAGTTTGAGGGTATACAGTGAGATTATTCCGCATCACTTAGTTTACTTGATACATCATACAGTGAAACAGTAATATTTACTTCATAATGAAGTTTTGAACTCAATTTATTGTTCATTATAATATTAATTATGATTACAGAGTGACATGTGCTACTGACAAGATTCATCAGTAGCATATAAAGAGACGTCCGTCAACATAATAATGTCATATAGTGGAGAGATAGATTTGAGGTCAAGGAGAGAAAATGAAGCAGTACTGAGGTAAAATATACGAGACACGTAAAGAAGACTAAGAAACAATCGACGAAGGGCAGGAGTATCACAACACGGAAGATTTGTACAAATGCTGATTTTAATATGAGGTATACATAATCTCCCCATATGTGTATTTCAAATTGCTAATAGTCATTCTGTTACCAAGCCTCTTGTCTTCTGTTACAACAGAACTTCAAGAATTCGCCTTCATAATCCCCGTTATTCTTCACGTAATTGTTGGGAGGGTAGAAGAATTTTCCAAATATCCCGGTCATTCCTATTGTTCATGGAGAGAAACATCAATAACTGAAGCTTTATTTATCGAATCAGCTGAGAATGCATGCAGTAGGTATAACTCAGGACCTCTTGCAAACATTTAGAAAACTCCCCTTCCTTCATGAAATGTGAGTAGGAAAGACGAACACTTCAAAAATCAAGTTTTGAAGTTCTGTAGTTCCAACTATTATTATGAACAATACTAGATTGTAACTGAAATATCATTCAGTAAATAATACTGTTGCCCTGTGTAACACATCCAATAAAAAATTCATATGGAATTGCATAATACCACAGTGCCCAGGTTGTACACCTTATAACAACACTTATGGTTTGTCACGTAAAGAAAAGTAAGCGTTCAACAGGATTATTTTAAATGCTATTTTATACAGTATGAAATAATCCAAACGAGTTTGATTAAACACTGAGAAAATAACAAAACTACTTGAAAAATAAATATCTATCTCTTGTTATTGTCACAGAGTGACCCTTCATAGTGAAACAAAGAAGATAATATCATACACAATAAAGGCTCATTTATCATGAATTGCATAATCTGTGTATGGTGGGAAATCTGTGAAAAAATGAATAATGTTTTCACATATATCTTAACGACAAGATAACTATTTGAGGCTTATGAACTTGGAAAAAACCCTTGAACATGCACCTTTCTGGATGAAGTAGCATAATCAGTGTTATAAGGAGATGAAGTTTATGTAAGGAAAAAAGAGTCGGTTTTATTTTTTCCACAACTCATTTATCACATTCTGATCACTACAATAAAAAGGAAGAGTTGAAAATGGTCTAAGGGATAAGGTTTTCGTATGTCAACTGTTTTCTAACACTTCTTTTTCAAATAAATATCAAAAAGATAAACGTATATTTATATATAATGCGAATATTTTAGGTATTCCAATCTACCAGTCACTGATGCATAGATGAATAGAGATTTGCCAGGAGTTCCCATCTTTCTGTCTTTGTTCCTCTCTCTCACACACGTTCTTCAGTCATTATCAAGAAAGCAATGACAATTTTCGTTCATCTTTCACTATATCGCGTCGCTAATTCGTGTACTTGAGACATTGCAGACTGCAAGCCTCACTCAGAGAAATTAAAGCTCAAGTTGAACTTCATCACTGCCCAGTTTCTACCCACTGTTTTAAATTTCTGTCTTCATCAGAATTTAAATTTTATCAACCTAAAGTTGAGATAGTATTTTCCTCTTAACTTGGTGGAACCCACTAATAATGACTACCGACTAAAACTCCAGGTAATTTCATCCTGCAGAGAGTTACTAATGAGCACTAGATTAATTTGCAGGTATTAGTTTACAGGGATTTGACGTTGGGTGGCTAAGATCATATGGCTCGAAGCCACTCTCAATAGCTCAGATTCACTCATTCTTTGTGATCTCCCAGATTCAGTAGAAACTCGTGTTTTTTCACGTAATTACTCTTTCTATCTTATCTTTATGCTCAGTGTAGTTCTTTTGGATCTCTTTCTTTTCTTTATCTATGGATGTTACATGAAGTGTGACAGCTTGAACTGTTGCATTTCTCTGCAAATTTGGCTGTTGGAATTCAGTCAGTTAGCCAGTCAGTTAAAAAAAGAAATTGACTAGTTATTATACAGAGAATTCATATTCGTATTTAATGAAATGTTTGTTAATTTTTTGCACTTTAGTTATTCGTATCATAAAGGTATATTTTATTTAAATACTTTTATAAAACACGAGAAAAGTAATTATTTACAAAACCACCTAGTGATGGCAAAATTATTCAGCAAAGGAAAAAAAAGAATTTTGAACATTTAACAACTAAATATGTAACACAAATTGGCATAGCTTTTAAAGCATTCCATGTCATTTTTGTTATTATTAATTTTGATTTACTTGCAGTTGAAGTTTTTAAAAATTGCAGAGAGTAGGGAAAAATAAGTAAACATTAGTATTGAAATTTAATTATCCCACTCTCTCCGTCAATTTTTTTCTCATTCGTCATAAAAGAAAATGCAAAAAAAACCACTGAACAGAATAAAAACAATTTGGTATTAAACCGATAAACTGTACAATTTCTTCCGCCTGAAGAGAGAAACACAGCACTAAAGTTTTTTATCACATTCTGATTAGATAGGGGGAAAAAATACTTGAAATTTTTGTCCATTATCTGGTTCGTATCGATCATGAGTTTGAAAAGACTGTTCACTTTACTAGATGTAAGTAAAATAATAAGGCTGGAAAATTCCTGTGGTTAACTGAGAATGATGAAAATTAGTCTGTGGTTATGTTTGATAGTGTATGCAACATAACACCATTGAAACTCTGCACTTTTTTTCAGTTTACAGTTTAATTAATTTATGGCTTCACTTTAACACCCAGCTATTATTATTATTATATGATGGGATGGATTCCTCTTTTGAAAATCGAAGAAATAGAATACTAATGGTATTTTAGTTCCTATATAAATTCCACTGTAAAAAAATAAATCAGAACTGAGTCATTCATGCCTACCTTTTTTTATGCAATGCGAACTTAAAGGCGTTGTTTTTATGATTAGTTCAGGTAACTTGGAAAATACTATTAAACGTAGTCACTTATAACAAGCAAAAAACTAATAACTGACTGAATATTCTGTCTGTGGCTTAACACAGTCTAGTTTACTAGCACAGCCTAAACCTGGAAAAGAGGGAAGGTTGGGTGTGAAGTAAGTACTTCCACCCAATATAAACATCCCTGTAGCTACAGAATTTTCAAAGTAAAGAAAAAAATTCCCTTTCCTCTGGAACTGGAAATTGGGACTATTGATGTCAGCAGGTAAAAGCTTTCCAGAAGCCAGTCGGTCAGTAAGTCTTCCTTCCATGAAACCGGAACTAAGTACAGGGACACAAAATCTTCACATTATGTTTAAAGCTACTACGGCTATTGAGATTGCAGAAAAAATGAGAAGATATGTTATAGGCTTGTTAGGAATCCGTTAGAGAAATTGGGATCGAACTGAACTCTCCGAATTGTCAGCCTGAGAGTAAGTAATCTACTATGGTTATCACGAGAACAACTACGAGCATACTGAGGACGTAGTTACCATGAGATGTCAACAACTGCACCTACCTCTTACTTTCTTCACAAATCTGTCTTTGTTCATTTACACTTATTAAAGTTTTACTTTAAGGAAACTGACAAAACTTGCACAAACAACTTACCTCATCGCAATACAGATTATAACTGTTCTGGCTTGAAGTGAATTCTCAATCAGCCGTATTGCTTATTCTCAAATGAAGGTATGTGTTATAGCGAAACAGTTAGGGTGTTTTTCTGGAGATGTTTGTGAAAAAATAAACTTTATGCTCATTAATCAGTAATTTTGTACTGCAATTATCATTAGTGTACTTTGTACCTTCTGTTTTATGAAACAGTATAGGCAAATAAGCCAGAACAAATTATATTCTAGT